CGTCGTCAGTGCTTGTTCACACATGACTTCCTTGTGCGGCATGTAATATAATTTCGTCACCTCTGCAGGTACGTCACTGACTACTTCGGCGTGTCCTGCCCTCAAGTACTCCCTTATGGTACGGTCATACGTTTCGAGCAGTCCTTTTCTGGAGTTGAGACGGTTGACAAGCTTGTACAGTCGAGTAACGGCTACTTGCCTGTTGCTTGCAAGCTCGAAATTATCCTTCCAAGGGAGGGTCACCTCATATCTTCCGTTTTTAAAGCTAATCGTTTGCTCAAAATGCCTCATGGTGTCGCTCATTTCAGGTGGCTTGTTTATCGCGTCTGTAATTCCTCTGTTTTCAAGTTCCCAAAAGGAGCGCAATATCTCGTCGGAATCGGTAGTTTGGGCTTTTAGCACGCACACCATCATTTGTGAAGTAGTTGGGTGGGACACCAAGTGCGATGTGCTTCCCTGGAAGGTCCATCCAAGCTTGGAGTTCAGTGTGATCAATGATTCGTTGCCTTCGCACCGTGAAACTTCGCCGGTCAACACTTTCCACATCTGATCGGACCCAATAAGTACGCTGATGCCACTCTTAGTTATGATAGATGGATGTTGGAGCTCATCGGCAACATCGTTTCCCAGCTTCTTGAAAGACGCAACGAAGGCTTCGTCCATTGCAGTCTCTGCGATGTCTTGGCAGATGTTTGGGATCTTTATTGCAGTTAAGACTATTTCCGCGTCGGAAAACTGGCTTCGCAGTCGTAGTTCTACTATGCGACGCCTCTTAGCCTCTTGGTTCGATGTATTTGCGAAAGTATTGAAGGCTATTCGAGTTGCTTCCACGCTTTTCAGCTTGAGGTGCTTGGACAGATCTTCAGTTACGAAAGTCCTCTGACTGCCACCATCGAAAACGCCTCGTATGTAGCGGCAGGTGTCATCATTCATGGCCCATGCTCTGAAAGTCTGAAGAAAAACGGAAGTGGTAGAGTCTTCCTTGATAGGTATTCTTCTAAGTGATGCACAGACTGTCGTAGTTTTTTCGTAGTTCTTGTTAGCATAGTCTGACTTTCGCGAACACCTATCGGGATCGCACATGCTTGTAGCGTGTCGAGCTTGGCATTTGGAGCAGGAAATCCTTTTTTTGCAGTCCCGTGCCCGATGTCCTTTGGTGGTGCAGCGGAAACACCTTTTGTCTTTGGAAAGCAGTTCCTTCTTCTGTGTCAGGGACAAGTCAGCTGTGCAGGCTTCCGATCCGTGATGGCTGGACGAGCAGAATACGCAGTTGTCCTTTTTTTCTCGTACCTAGTTGCTTTGAAGCACAGATGACGTCAGTTTTCCACACCGAGGGTACGTCGACTGACTGGCCACGGGGAGTGTTCCATGTTCTCGTCCTTTGGCATCCTTAAAATCACTCTTCTCCAGGCTTTCCAGCTCGATACACAGGAAGTTGAGCACACGGTCGAGTCCCACGGGTGTAGCTTCAGCTCTCGAGTCATATGCCAACTGGACGGCACATGATCGATGATACTGCACGACTATATCCCGTGGAAGAGCACGCAGTAGGATGTCGCAGAGCATTGACGAGAATGACGACTTGTGCACACCCAAAGTCTCTAAGCCTCGGATATTCACGAGAACTTGGTCGTACAAGCTGCGTAGCGCTTTGGTGTCAGTCGATGAACGGACAGGGCTTAACATCCGTAGCTTGGCAAAATATTCTTGCTCCAGGCGCGTCTTGTCCCCAAATCGCTTCTGTAGCATTTTGATGGCGTCACTGTAGCAACTTTCTGTCGTCGGAAGGCCCGCCATTACTGATGCAGCGTCTCCTTTAAGATACAGTCGCAGGTAATGAAACTTTTCTGTGGCAGTGATGCGATTGTTTCTATGAACAATTTGGTAAAATTGTTCCCAAAATTCGGTCCACTTGCATATATCTCCAAAAAAAGGAGCTATTGTCAGTTAAGGCAATTTAACTCCAGTTCCGTCTGATGGTGCTACGACTGTCTGGGCAACTGTTTCTTGAGTTCCGGTCGATGTCCTTAGCATGCGATCTTTCTTGCTGAGAACCTCAGCGAGAATGCGCGTAGCAACGTCCTCGTATTGTAAGACAGCGTTATACTCGACCTCGAACTCCTCGTCAGGTATATGCGGCTCAATCTCGTTGTTCAGGTTTTTAAGCTCTTCGTTATTAGCCTTCAGCCTCTCATATATGGAGTTGAGCTGGTCATAGGAGGCAGAGTCGTTTGCGAGGAGCTCACTTGCCTCGTTTATAATCCTCGTGTTCTGTGCTCGCCGCGACGTCCGCTTCGACTTCAGTCGCTCCATGCCGCTGCAGTTGACTGGTAGCCGTCCGTAGGGTCCAGGTTTTCAATCCCGGGTTTCGGCACCAATGCTTAGACAATGGCGTTCCAGACACTGCGATCAGACTCAACTACGTCTTTAAGGTATAAGGCAAAAAATACTTGTTTATTTAACTGCGTTCGGAAGCGCTCTGCTGTCACTTGAGCGTCCCCACGTCCCTCGCTCGCGCTCTTCTTCTTCTTCGTTTCCTTGTCCCAGCCCAGAACGTGAAAAATAATCAACAAGGTGACTGGCTTGAAATAATTCTATGTCCTGACACCCGTTGGCAATCTACGCTTGTACCACGCATTATTATGGAAATATTTCATGTTTTATTGTGATAAATGTATACAGGACTGCATTTCCAAGCAGAGGGACTTATTTCTACTGTGGTCACAAGCAAAGGCGTGCCTGAATGAATTTAAAAAGTCCAGGTAGCTCAAAGTGCAAGAACATTCTCTTCTATTAATTACACTCCAGAACAATTCCTCTAAGAATCTTTCTAGACGAGCATGGTTTTTATATGCTTTAAGGATCTGATATTCTAACCTGTAACTAACTGGAAACAATATACCACGTTTTTCTATACTAATGAGAAAAGGGTACACTTTTGGTATACCTTTGAGATCTTTTACTCAAGAGAACTAAGAAAGAATTTCCGTTAGGCCCTCGTGGAATCAGGTATTTAGCAATCGAGAGTGGTGATGGATTACCTTTTGATTTTAATCAAGATGTCTGCCTTGCACCGTATATGGCGCTCTCGAATGGATACATTTCACTGTAACTTTGACAGGAGACCAGCAAGGCAGTGATTTAAAAAAAAGCATATGAAGGTTTCTCAAGGTTGTAAGAACAAATGGATATGTTCCTTCATGGTTGGAATGGGGCGAAGCTTGTTGCGTATTGTAATATATTGCTCATGTCCCCCCGTGTGAGAATTTCAGCCAAAAATAAAAAAAGCATGGCTGAGTGGTGGAACACATTGTTGCCACTCAAACAACCCGGTTTTGATCCCCACTCAGACGCAGAATTTTTTATTATTGATTTATTTGCATCTTTCTCATTTTTTCGGTCACGCAAAGATCACGATTTTTTGCTCACAGTCAATGAAGCCGACGCTGACAATGACGCCAACGCCGGAATTTCAGCGAAACGAGCTCCCTAATGCTGTCGCGTCAAAAACGATAAGGAGAAGCTCTATTGTGGGGCGTAGAACTCGCGATTTCGCGAACCGAAGTGAGCGGCGCCAATCGCTTGACCACAAAGCATGCATTGTCAAGAGAGCTAACAGCAAGCCAGATATCGTTTTGAAGTCTTCAGAGCTCCGTAACTTCAGCGCTTTTTCGTCATCAGTAGCGAGATGGCCCGAAGAGCGCGCGGTGGGCCCACTCTGGAGGTAACGCATGAGTGATGCTGACGAACTTCAGCAATGAGTACAAGCACTTGAGCAAAGGTACGGTGATTGCTTACATCAAAGAAATACTGGAAGCCAGCAACGTTCTCGCTGTCATTGATTTTGCCGAATGCTCTATGACGACTCAAGCGCTTCAACCGGCTTTCGACGTTAATCCGAGTAACAGTCATCGCCTCGCGTTTTGGAGAGCGCCGCCTCCACGGAGCGTGATCTCTCCTATACGCGCGCGCTAATCAGTCTTTTCATTTGAGAGAGGCGCGGAGGGCACTTCGCTGGCTGCTGCGGCTGCATTTACGAAAGAAGCATGGTTTGACGCTTGCTCGCACTTTTCCTGCGTATCCTTGTGCCTCCGTTTCACGCGCCTTTCTGTCGAACTGTGACAGCTGTTAGTCCACGCTCGTCCTGTGTATACTCATTTTGTGTGTTCTTTCTGGTTAACGTGTGCGCTTTAAGTTTCGAGCTGCTTGCGTTTCTTGGCGTGGCTTTGTAATTTGTTGCTGTAACAATAATTCTTTCGCCCATGTAGCGAAACAAAGCACAATAAAGGCTTTGTTTATTGTGTTTAGTTTTTTAAATAAAAGCTCATTTACTTCTGTGAATACATGTTTCACTTTTGAGTTATACCGATTATTAAACCGGAATTAGCCACAAGCTCCGTGCCCCGCCATGGTGGTCTAGTGGTTGAGGTACTAGGTTGCTGACTCGCAGGTCGCGGGATCGAATCCCGGCTGCGGCGGCTGCATTTCCAATGGAGGCGGAAATGTTGTAGACCCGCGTGCTCAGATTTGGGTGCACGTTAAAGAACCACAGGTGGTCGTAATTTCTGGAGCCCTCCACTACGGCGTCTCTCAAATTCATATGGTGGTTTTGGGGCGTTAAACACCACATATCAATCAATTCACTAGCTTCGCATTTATGCGCTGTCCATTCGGAAAGGTAGGCGTTGCGCCTCACCGGCAAGCAATTCGGATAAGGTATTTTTTTTCTTTCTTGAGTAATTGTTTTACGCATACTGGTCATGATTATTACCTGCAGCCTTCATTGAATTAACCTTCTTTTCTTTTCGAACTTGACTTTTGTCTCTTTCGAAGAACTAGGGTCGCGTATAGCAGTGTTTCCTTCCGTTTGGCATAATTTCTGCCCTCAATCACTTATTCATTGGATGCTGCGGCCATGTCCCTGTAGTGAATAGTAATTTCGGCAAGTGTGTGACGAAGAATAAGTACACTAGCAATATAATACTTATTCAGAAACTCACCAATCAGGAGGCGCCTCTCCTTCTTGAACGTTGTCATGCGTCAGCTCCTACATGAGAAAATAAGAAACAATAATATCGAAATGCAGATGTATGAAAGTTACAGAGAAGCAAGAAGTTGTTCTCATTAAAACGGTAACTTGAGAGAGTTCGTATCGGTTCTTATTTCAGTGCAACAGCCCATAACAAAATGAGCAGACTGATAGGAAAAAGAACAACGGACGTGGCAAGTGCTTCCTAACAACTGAACTGCTTATTGCAAATTACACATGCGTGCACGCAACATGCTGGAACACATGACTCGGTCGGTCGGTCGGTCGGTCGGTCGGTCGGTCGGTCGGTCGGTCGGTCGGTCAGTCGGTCGGTTGGTCGGGGCCATGGCCCCGTATTGGCTAGAAGATCTTGGTCCTTCACCCGTTTGCGGGCCCTTTGAACAGCGCTCAGTTATTTACGGAGATTGCCGCTTCCGGTGGCTTCCTCCCATTCCTCTGGTTTTGAGGTATTTTGTAACGCCAAACGTTGCCAGAGCACACTTCACTGAGTGCGTGGCTCGTTAGCTCACACGTGACATAGATTGCCACCGCCGTCTTCTTAATGCAAGAGGAATCCATGCAAACACCTCGCAGAGAAAATCAAGTTCTCTGTCAGACAGATCATGTGAAGCTTGGCTTACAGAGTTACCTATGTTAGGTTCCTACAATTGTCATGATCAGCCTAACTACGCCTCCTGCAGGGAAGGTCTCTCCCCTGTTTTGCCAATAAACCCAACATTGTGCTTTATACCAGCGAACTTGTTAATTCTCTGTACTCACCTAATTTTCTGTCTAGCTCTCCCGCGTTTGCCTTCCCTTGGAATTCAGTCAGTTGCCCTTAACGAGCTGTGGTTATCAGGCCTTTAGAATAGACTGGCAGCTCTAACCGAGAAAACCGGCGTTAGCGTTGATGCAATGAACAATAATCTGGGAATATCATTATTATCAGTGTTCAATCAAAGTTGCAGTAGAGTCAATGAACAGGACACTGCCAGCTTTCCCAGGATAGAAGAAACTTCTTTAAGACAGGTCATAACATGAAAACCACACGTGCAGCACACAAAACAAAGGTGGCGTAGCTTTTGAAGTTAATCATTCGGGGAAGGTAGCCACCATAAAAAGGTATGTCATTAAGATAATTGAGCATCTTGTAGGGAGTGGAAGAATCCTCAAAAGATGTGAAGACAAAACTTATCACAATCAAAAATCAGATGTATGAATTGAGGGACAAGGGAGGCAAAGTCATATCAGTTTAGATAGGATAGTTGAGGTGGCGTAAGAGTTCTACGTAGTACTGTACAGAGCAGAGACACCCAGGACGATATTGTAAGATTCAGTAATAGCCAAGAGAACCTGAGATTCTACCAGTAACGACAGGGAAGTAAACAAAGCCCTAGATGGAATGCAAAGAAGCGCCTACCACCTCCCGGTTAATGGGATGCCAATGTACGTAAATGACCTTAGTGCTTGCGAAAATAGGGCAGCACCTACACGATCAACATGCATAGCTAGAATAAAATTATCCGCATTCTTCAAAGAAGCATTGTGTTCTTGATCGCATTACATCTATTTCATACCAAGGTGTCTATATGACGTGACTCTACACAACTTAGCTATAGTAGCGTAATGTAAGCGTATGCAATCACAAGACTAGCACGCCATAAATACATGACCTATATATATATAAGCAAATGTGCTAGCGCGAGAACTGCAGATGGATTTCGAGCGCCTCGTGTTTCTGCTGCTGCAGCAGTTTTCCCGAAGTCAAGTAGCTACATGTAATGCTCTGTAAAACGCACAAGTAAGTAATTTTCATGAAATTGCTCAAAGTATATCTCCCCAATTCATTCAGGCAGCACACTTCGAAGCTCGAGCACCACATGAGTCAGATGGTGATTCTGCATGGCGCAATATGCATTAAATTATATCACCCTGCTCTTTAAAAGTTTTCTTCCACATCCAAGCCTTTCGGCATCGATATGTTGCAGAGTGTTCACATCTCATGTCACACTTTCTCGGACAGTTGCTACCATTGCTAGCTATTTAAAAGAGCCACGTAAGTGGCATTGAGTGGTATTGTAACTTATGATTAAAATTCGTGGCTATGAGAGGCGGGAGAGTACGGTTTTGTCTCTGATAATGAGCGTTCGTGTTCCCGGTGCGAACATTGATGCATCTGCCACTTTGGCCAATGTAATTTTTACTACATGATAATGAAATTTAGTATACAGTGGCCTTCTAGCATTCTGTATATTGGAAGTTGTAGTTATAAAGGCAGTTGTATTGAGCTCTTTCATTGGTTTTACTCTGCTTCGCAATTCTCTTTTGCACTTTTGCGCACAGGGACACAACCTCATCAGAGGACGAAAAAAAAAAAAAACGTCAATGCTAAGTCACTTAGCCCCGTTTTTCAAACCGTGTGCCACTCGGTGAGTACACGGTATGCCCATGTACTTTTTTTGCTCTGACGGTCTATTCACCATTCACAGCCTGTGTTCCATTTGTTTTGAGACGTGGGCGAGGAAATTGATTGAAGCCTTGTCCATTCGAAATAAAAAATATGATTCCGATATTGCATATTCGAAATATTAGCACAGCTGTTTAGATGTCTTGATTTTGCAACAAGCTTAGATAAAAAAATTGAGAGACATGTATGTCAGTGCAGTTGCGTACCACTAATTATTTTACACAATTCCCTCTTTTGACAACACACGTCTGGCAGTCATGTATTCTATTAGAGTAAGGTTGTGGTCGGAGTAGTTAATGCAGACATGGTCAAATTGCAGCACCAATTTCTGATAAAAAGACCTAGTTTCTTTTAAAGTCACCCACAACTAACATCGGTGTGGATTGTTGTGCGGTCAATGCGAGGAGGACGAAGTCCACGACGTCCTTGGTAAGCGTGGTAGGCGAAAAGTACACAGCCACAACCGGCAAGCCGTTGTTGAACTTTGTGGCATACAGTGCACCAGTGTTTTTTCTGTTCTACGAAATATTTCAATGGAAATTGCAGGTATACCCGTATGCAAGCAGATGCCCAGTACCAGTGCTCTATTGTACTCTCTGCGAGCGCCACAGAAGTAGTCGTAGTATATGACTTGGAGGGTTTGGTTATAAACCATTCAGATGTCAGCAAGGAATAGTTCAGAAGGAACTAACTGCAACTAATTTGTATACAAACTTCGTTTCACACATCACGTGCTGATGCTGATGCTGATAACCTCAGATGAATGGCGCTTACCCACAGAGGGGGATGGGCCAAAAACCGGGTGGCATAATACTTAAATAAAAGGAAAATGAAAAAAAAAGCCAATCTGAAAATATAGTTTAGAGATAATACTGTTGATAAACAAAAATGGTTGCTGAGCAAGCGGTCAAATAATCTCTTGTTCCTGACAGACATCGCTACGAATTGTAAACCAAAGGTCTGAATAGGTTAGGGTTCACTAGCACGGTAATCTTTTAGTTGCATTGATGTAGTCAAACACAGTGGAGCATATATCCCTGTGGCAGTAACCAAATGAAGTGCCGCCAAGTCATAAAAATACTGTTACATTTACTTGTATTCCTAGCTTTTGTAATAGGGCTACTAAATATCTTTTTCTGTGTGACGTTGTGGAACTTACAACAGCGAACTTCTTCTCATTTGCTAGCACGATTCTTGTGGCACATACTTCGCTTTCATTTGACGCCCGTAGCTGCTGCTGCACACGGTATAGTGGGGCTTACTGAGTCTTCTCCTTTGCTTTCCCAATTCTTTGCCACATAGTTTGTTTTTTTTACCGCGACAGCGTTAAAGAGCTCCTTTCGCAAAAATTTCAGCGTCAGCGTCGTTCGTTGTGAGCAAAAACTCGTCACCTTTCAGCGACAAAGATGCAAATAAAATAAATAAGCGATTGCGGGTCCGAGTGGGAATTGAACTGGGGTCTGTTGCATGGCAAGTGGGTGTTATAACACACAGCCGCGCATCTGCTTGTGAATACAGCGAAAATAACTTCCTCTCCTTGGAAATGCAGTGAAAGTAACTTTTATGCTTTACAAAAAACACGCGTCCTGTGCACATGCTCCACAATACAACATTAAATATTGTGGACGTTCGGCAGATTTCACGTACCTTGAAATTGGATGTTCTGCGCAGCATGTGAATGCAAGGTGAACGTGCTTTAAATTTTTTATTGAGCAAGACGTCATGAAGGGGCACTCAATGTATTGAAAATTCACGCAAACGCACACGATAAACACCAACATATATTTTATATTAGCAGTTGTTTGCAGTTTCGTAACAATGCCAACAGCAACGTAGATATTGCCAACCGCAGAAACGTTAAGCTGATATAAAGCGATGGTGCTTGCGCTGGGGCTCACGAGGCTCCCTCAACTCTGCTACACAAACCAACTTCAGTGGATGGCGCCTATAACTACAACTGACGTAAACCTGACATGACGACTGTATCATAGGAGTATATATGTAATGTCTATAAAGTTTTTGAGCCTGTACTTCAACCAGAATTGACGTTTAACAAAAATTAAGGTCTATTTGCAAAGGATTTTTGAGACCTGGCGTGGTTTTGTGGTAGAACACTTGATTGTCACGCGGAAAGGTAGGATTCGATTCCTGCTGGGATACTGACATTAATTTTTTGCATTCGTCCGGTCAGCGCCGCATATGCTAGTTTTTTCTCGGAGGCCATGAAAGTAAGCACTTGTTTGCTTAATGAATATATAGGTGGCTACTGCAAAAAAAATGTGCAGTTGTTGCTTGGCAACACAGAATCTCGGGCCTCAAAGGCATGGAGGTCTTTGTTGTATCTTCCTCACATAATCAGTTATACTTTTGCTCAAATGTATCACTTGTCGCGTCCTCAGATGTTTCTCACAGAATAAATTACATAATCAGGGGGTCTCCGTAGGAGTCCATGTTATATCTTGCTCTCACATTCAGTTATATATGTGCATACTTCTAGTCTTCTTAACATGCCGCGATTTTCATTACGTAACCACTGCGCCGTTGGATGACACCGGACTTCGCTTTAAGTTTGTTTGTAAAGTGCACTCTAATACTTTAAAAAAGATGCGTCTTTTTTTTGACAAACGATAGCCCTACGCTGTAGCAACAGCTATACCAAATATTTCAGAAAATTTACTGTTGTTCTTTTTCAAGTGTTCCTCTTATTTCTGTTTGTTTAATAACCAGGTGAGTTATTTGGCAAATAAATGCAGAGAGAGAAGTAAACTTTAGTGATTACTGGCAGATTACTGGGCTGGGCTCCCACCTAGATCCAGCAGGTCAAGGAAGCTGTCTCCTGGCAGTTTCTTGGCCTGCTGGATTGCCTAGAGTTGCTTGTCCAGACCAAGTCCGCCAACGCGCCTTAAGGTCTTCGCTTGAGACCGCGACCCCAGAATTTCTGAATAACGCTGGACCTTCGCATACGATATGGTGAAGAGTGGCTCTGGTGGTACAGTACTGGCAGAGATTCGAGCTATAGACGTCTGTATATATATGGTGCATGATGACGGGGTTCATGTATGTGCGTGTTTGTATACTGCCGCCATTTAACGGACTGTGGCCCATTTAGCTTAGGGAGAGGCGGGGGTACTTCCGCCTTTGCAGTCGATAGTGTTGAGTTATGTCACAAAACTTAGTGAGCCGATCTTTCATTCCCACACCGGCACAGAAAAGTCTGTTTGAGTGGCCGCTTCGTCTAACATGACACGGAACGTAAGACCTGAAGCCACGTTGTGCGCCACTTCATTCGGGCTGTCCTCCGGGTTACCCAGTGCTGTGTGGGCAAGGAACCGAAGGATGTCCACGAATTTGTCCGGCTCGTCAGTTTTGCCTGTATTAAAGATCCGCAATGCCTCGGGGTAGATTCTGCCGCTGACGTAGTTTCGAACGGCCTCTGCGAGTCCCTGATTACATATGAGGCATTCGTGTGAGCTATGGCCATCGCGATAGCCACTTCTTTCGCCGTTTCTACGTTCTGTGTGATGATTGACGCGCTGCTTTTGCATTGTTGTGTTTGGTTTACCATAGTAGCCACGAAGCGTTGACGTTTCTGGTAGCGTGCTGCGTCGACAAAGACCGCCTCATAGTTGTGCCACGTCCAATAATATTTCTTCCATGTTGCCGGTTTTCCACAGTGTGTAGCAGCAAGCCAAATGCAACTTGGTTAACTTTATTACCTTTTTTGCTTTTTTTTATGACGGCCCTTTTACATTTGGCCCTTCTAAACGCCTTTGATGTTCGCAGAGCAAAAACTAAAGGCATTTCGCGCCACGGTGAGGTTTTTAGCCTATTTTTGTTCAATGTAGGCGTGTATATTTTATCTTATCAGTCATATAATAAAACATTAAAACGTCATCTAGTTCGAAAATACAGCGTATGTTGTATAGAAGGCTGATTCACATCTCGTGTTAAACTTTAGCATATATGTGTGAACACGACCTCTTTTTTTACACGGCTGCTCCTTCATATTGATGATACGCATCCTTCTATCTTGCACATAATCTCTACGCTGAAGTGAAATCTGTGAACAGAGCAGGAGCATTTGTTGTGTCCTTTGTGCCTTTAACTGTTGCCGCTTCTGTTGTGCTGAAGAAGCCATTACCTCTCTCTTTTCCTTTCTTTCAACAAGCAGTTTGACGTGAGAGATAATTTACTTCAGCCATGTTCTTTATATTTCGTATCGTTCTATCACATTTATTACATCTAGCATATAAACAAGCATCATATTCAGTTCGAAATCAAGGAGCAAGCGCAAATCAATACGCAGTATAGAAGCAGATAAAACGAACAGGGGTGAACATCTATCGGGGGAAAATGGTTCCATTATGGTTGCACCTTGAGCTCATTGTGGTCTCATGAAGGGAATTCTACCCGAGGAATTCATCTTGCCCGGCGACAACGCCATCTATCCCGAAGCACAGCCTTGATTACCTTTTTTCTTTTGACAACTGTGCCAGGAGAAATGTGCAAACCAAAAAATACGTCCCCGAGGCAGCGTGTTCGGAAAGCTGAGTATGACTGAGAACCGCAAGATAATGTGAAGGCATGGAGCTTTGAAATATAGGCGGCAACGGTGTCGTTGATTTGACAGGAGGCGATGACGACAAGGAGTCGTTAACGCGAGTGTTCAAGAGCGTCCGTAGCACGTTCGGGCATTATGCATGCTGTCGTGTGCCGATGAACGCCGGCGAATATATATCTCTTTCGCATCGGTGGTTCTCTTTCTGCACAGTGGTACTTGCGGTGCTACTCTCCTAATGTCTTAGTTTTACTTTTTTTAGGTTTCCGTGAGCATGTATTACTGCTGTCGTAATAAATATGGTGCTTTTAACTCATGTAGTTTGCAGAGACATAGAGTTAAAAGCTATTTAATTTTAGCTGTTTACGCTGTACTTCATTACCATTGCGTTTTTTCCTTGTCAATTTGATGCTGTTGGTTCAATCTAAATTCTTGTACACGCGTGTATCAACACTCCTTATGTTCTACAGAAGCCAAGCTAGGAGATTTCCTACTCATCTTTTTAAAGTAAATAATTATAGTTTTTCTTTTTAACCTTCTGTGTTTTCAATCCTATCTTGACACAATGAAAATTTTGTTTCGGTAAAACAAAAGAAAAGCTATGCTGAGGTAAAAAGGCAGAGCCGGAATAATAGCGGATTAGCCGCACTATTAACGAGGCTGGTAAGATATTCCGCATTGAGGCATTGGGCGTGAGTTAAAATGGCCTCAGAATTATCTATAGTGTCCGTTGCATGTACGAATAGCTAAATGGCATATTGACTATAAAGTCTGTCTTGTGAAAATATCTTGTAGCACTTGGTCAGAGCAACATCGTTCAGGGGCGTACTGCAGGCCGAGAAAACGAGCTATCTTGGTATCCGTTATTTTGATTTTGTAAGTTTTTTCCCAATTAGTCTATTTTAGACTGTCATAGAAGTGTATCTTTAGTACCGAAGATGATTTACACACCCCTAAATCACGTAAGCGAGGAAAAGAATAACGTTAATGAAACTTCTTGTTGGGCTAGTTGGTGTTCTATGCGAGACATCTTATTTTTTTAGCGAAAACAGAAAAAAAAAGAAAGCGCTAGCTGATGAGAGAAGGAAAGTGGCCAAAAGGCAAGCGCTAAACGTCAACTGACTTCATTTGGAAAAAACCACTGGAAAGACAAATCATCTTGAGCGCATGCGCGTAGCCGTAGAAAACGTAATCAAACATTGATCTCCAAAATCTGAACTGCTCACTTAACATACGACTGATGTGTCATTTGTTCGGTAACACGCATTTACCGGTCCTTTGCTGAGCCTGCATGTGTGCACCGCGGCTAAGCGAGATCAAGATCCTGGGCAGAGGGGGAGATGCCTTGGGACGGGAGTTGCTGGGAGCTTTTCATATGAAGAGCGAGGGCAAAGAGTGTATTAGTGACACATTCATTTATTTTTTCGATGATTAATTCAGATTTTTCAGATATATGCATGATTATCTATGCTACGGCTGCACGCATGAGCTTTAGGTGATCTGTCTTTTCAGTGCTTTTCGCAAATAAAGACCACTGATGTTGCTCTGAGCACTGTCTCCTTCTCTTATCAGCTAGTTCTTCCTTTTCCTCTATGTCTTGAAAAAATATGACCTCAGGTGTTCAACGTTACACTGAACATAGCTTGCACGGGGTTTTGTGCAAGGAAGCGGAAATAAAGTGCATCCTGTTAAAATACCATACAATTTATAATTACTTCTATACACTAATCACGCGCTTTTGGTGGGAACTTAAAACATTGTTTAAAACGAAAAACGTTGCCATGTGGCTCCTGTTTAGGCTAGTCAGGACTGAAGACCTGTAGCTTTGCAAATTACGTTAACATGCTGAGCGCTTTAATTTAAAGTTGGCTTATGGACACTCTCAGAAAGAGGAATTCATGCTCCTTCTCACGAATTCTAACTTGGCACGCAGGAGATCACCAAACTCTCGTTGCAAAGTCCGCAGCACGCAATATGTAACAAATCTGTTTGAAAACAGTTTACGTTTTGAAAGGGTAACACGTACTCTATATTTTTCTTAAAGGGAAGAGACAACTTGGTGGTGAACACCTTGTTCTGAGCTTTGGTAAGCTATTCTTTTGGTGTTACCTTCAAAATTTCTTAATGTGTATAATAATAGAATAGTTAACCCAGCAGTAAACTCAATAAAAAAAAAGTTGACTGAAAGATACTCACTAACTCGTGAAGAATCGTCTCCTCCGAAGCCGCTGCATGGCGGCCAATGGCGAAGCTAGGCCGAATAGATGAGGCGACCTGCGCAGTAGGGGATGATCAGTTGACGCTTCGAGCAACGCAATCCTTGTAAATATTGTCAAATACGGTAGGCTGATTGGCCAAGTGGCAGTTTATTAGGCGAGTCCGACAGAAGCCCTCCCAAACGATATAGTTAAAAAAAAGCTACAAAAAATTCGGCAGATCCCACATACCTGGGAATCGACGTTATTCGAAGCATGCGGAGGGAAGGTGACCGTGTTGTAATTTTTTATTGAGCAACACGTCATTAAATGACGCTGAATATATGTAGAAACGTTGCACGCACAGACATATGTTGAAGAGTTGCAGATATTTATATAACCAGTATTTTGCACTTGCAAAATGATGTTAACTGGAGCATGCGTATTAGCAACACCAGAAGCTGATATAAAGCGCTGATGCTCGCGAGATTGCTGATTTTGGACACTGCTACATAAATCAGCTTCAGTGCATGGCACCAACACAATTGACGTTAACGCGACGCGATGGCTGTACCAAAGGAGTGCATACGTGCTCCCTTGGGTAGGCAGCACTGCAAACACTATTAACACTACACGAAGATTAGCGTCTATTTGAAAATTAGTTCCGAGACGTGGCATAGCTCTGTGGTAGAATGCTTGACTGCCACGCAGAATGCTTGGGTTTGATTGCCGCCGGGACCCTGAAATTTATAACTTGCAATCGTCGGGGGTCAACGCTACCTATGTCAGGTTTTTCTTAACTCTGATATTTATTCGATGCCTTCTTTGGGTCGACGCTACCGATGTCGGGTATTGCTTAACGCTCACGAGTTAAAATTGCCAATATGTGTTCTCGTCGTTCCTGGGTAGATACTTTGTGTCAATCACCTGTGGCCCATACCCGCATACCAGCGGCACATACCCACCCGTGCGTATATGCCACTGTCTGGCTGGAAGTGTTTGAGGACGTACGTGACAGAATTGTGACGTTATTCATGTCTTGTCCAGCATGTCATTTTGTCAAATCATCTTACCCTCTCATGCGAATTTCGGTTCACGCCAAGCATGAAGAAACCATCAAGCCTATGTTTTAGGGGCGAAGCTCCTTTTGGCGTGGCTTGTGCGTCCCTCATAGTACGTAACCACCAGTGGCACATACCCGAAATAGGTATAACATTTGACCTCCAAGGTGGTGCCGGTGAGAGATTTCTTCTGTGCGTTGTTTAACAATAAAAAATAGTGCTCAATGTACATGCCAATGGCTGCTAATGGGGAATGAGAGACAGAAGCATTCGGCTTTTAGTCAACGCGCACGCTGCGATCCCCATCAGCAGCCATTGGCGTGTACATTGAGCACTATCGGACAAGAAATGGTTGCTACATTATACTCGCTGGGTGTAACCTCCTTAGTTTTAGAAAGGTTTAGCGAGCGTTGAGCCGCAGGGCCATGAATACAATGAACTAGTATATACCATGAATGAATTCGAGGTGGTTAAAGGGGGGAAGCAGATACGAAGCGCAAGCCGTAAGAAATTAAAAGCTGAATCCTCCTGTCTCTCATTTCACATTAGCAGCCACTGGCATGTACATTGAGCACTATCTGACAGGAAAAGGTTGCTACGTTATACTCGCTGGGCGTAACCTCCTTGGTTTTAGAAAGGTTTAGCAAGCATTGGGCCGCTGTGCCATGGATACAGTGAACTAGTATATACCATGAACTCAAGGTGGTTGAAGGTGGGAAGTAGACCCGAAGCGCAAGCCGTAAGAAAGTGTGCGTGTGCCAACTCTCGTTTAGTCCTTGGAATGTCCACTGAACGGCGGTGCTTCTATATGGGGAATATATGATAAAAAGATGCGAGATGGTGGGACTTGGAGTGTTGAATAGATGGACGAACGGACACACAGACAGATGCATGGATGGACGCATGAACGGACGCAGGGGCGGATGCATGAACGAACGTAGGGACGGGCGCACGAACAGACGCATGGACGGTCACACAGACGGACGCATGGACGGACGAATGCTTCGCCCCACTCTCCATCATTCACTCCGTGGATATGCTGCCATTTTTTTAACCAGGAACACATCTTCCAAAAAGCTTCCTTGACGAGTTTCGATTTTCAACTGTTGGCCACACGCGGAAGTTAAGTAATGAGTTGCCGTAGTGAAATCTTCTAATGATTGAATACCTCTGCCAAATGAAAGCTTAATTATTAAATACTTTTTGAAGCATAGTCTACTGGTGGCTTTGAACCTTTTTGAAGAGTTCTTTTTATGGCGAACCTTTACCAACACGCCCAACTGACAGTCATCTTAGAGTTCTTTTTATGTAAGCCTGTGTTACGCTGTGCATTTACTTCCTGCAATAATGCCGTGGGGCGCTGCGGGTATTTTTAATAAATAAAATAAATAATGCGGCGAAGTGTAATCAGCTCGACATAGAAGGCATAGACTGCGACTGATTGCATATGGTCCAATATCAACTACAATAAAATAATTTTATTTATTATGCGAGAACGACAGGGGATATATTATATCCTGTGTCGTTCACGCATAAGTAATTTATTCGAAATATCTATGTCCAGCAAAGACACAAAACACTACAATAATCACGTGCTGCTATATTATGAACCTATTGCTATCGGCTACGCGATACCAAGAACGACGCGACGCACGAAACATTTGTATTTGGCATCAAGGCTTCGGCTGGTTCAAAGCAGTTTCGTAAGATGCTTGGGACACGTGTACATTACGAAACTTATTTTCGCAACGCAAGGTGATCTACCTCTGTAAAACGCTTGACTGCCGGTTCTCGTATCGAAAAGCTATCGTAAATTGATTACTGACGGCTTTGAGACAAGAAAATTATAAAATGTCACTTTGTCATAAAGAAGTGAGCACAAGGCGCTTGGCGCTTAACGTTGCAGTTTATACAGCGCATTATAACGGCGTGCTTTTATCGCAGGCTGTCAGGCTTCAAGCTGCTTTATTTTGGACAAATGTATACGCCTAAGAGATTGGGCAACTACAAGTTCGTAGGCTCAAGTGTTGGTTTGCTGAAATCTACCACGTACACGCAGTCAAGTAAGCACCCATTCCGTCAACCATAAGTTGTGTATATTGTGATTTCCGAAGCAAGGTTGAATGATTCGATAACCCTTCTAGCTCACTGACTTCGTCGTCACACTTTGCTGGTCACAGTAAAGGCTCCGAGTCTCCTACTATCCTAGCTTCTACATCACCGCCTCAAAATACTGTGTCACCACGTCGCGAAGTCATCAAAAGTCCATTAACTGACAGTAATGCTTCGCAAAGAAGGCTTCAGGAGAAACTCGCTGTTGTTGTAAGTGCTAGTAGTGTGAGATGTACCTTTACATTTTTTGTTTGGCACAACATAGGATATATACTCAGAACGGGCCGCAGAAAGATCCTAACGGTGAAGTTCTACAACCATGAAGATACACATAAAAGGATTGAACGTAGGTTCAAGTACGACGCTGCCTCAGCCTTCCTCTTTCGTATATTTCTGTACTGCCTAGTCCCGAGAGCCTTTGGATTGTGCAGTGTCAGGGCCTCTCTTTGCGCTACGACGAAGTATGAGCAAGGAAGTAGCGCCTAGGTTAAACTTACACAACACCCTTGAATACGAAAGAGAGCTGCCACCAGGCCGACAGGGTGCAACGCTCTCCAGGAGGACCAAGATCAAGTAAAAAAAAACATTTTATATAGAAACGCGAAAGGAAGGTCTTTTTCGCTAGACTCATTAGGGTGACAAGCGCAGGGCGCCATATTAAACGACACAAACAACGTTGACTTACCGTAGGTGCTCACATGAGAGCTTGGGGCAGGAGGAGGCAAGGAAGGTGTCAGAAAGTATTCAGAATGTTTTCTTTTCTTCTATTTTTGACCTGCTTCTAAGATCACATGCACCTACCACTATGAGGGTATCTACATGCAAATGAATCTCATTTACGAAGCTGCTTTGCATCCATTTAACGTTGAGAAGGAGCCAACAAAAACTTGAGAAAGGAAGAAACCAGTTCTTAGAGGACCTTTTTAACAGCAGGCGGGGAATATTTAGGTCGTAGGTGCGATATCAGAATCGGATATCTGAAATTGTGTCTGGCCATCATGCGCAGTGCAAGACTCTTTGTTAGATCGTTTTTTATCGGGCACAATGTATCTTAATGTTATAGATAGATAGATAGATAGATAAAAATGTTTGCATTTAAAACAGATTGCTCCCTCTACACAACCACTCACTGGCTGCGTCGTATATATATATATATATATATATATATATATATATATATATATAGGCACTGTATAGTGACCTCCAAGATAGGGCCGGTGGAAGATTTCTTCTGTGTGTTGTTAAACAATAAAAATTCCCACCGTGCGCGTTAACAAAAACCGGACTGCGAGTCTCTGTGTTCAATCTGCGTCTTCTGTCTCTCATGGCCCAGTAGTTGCGATTGGCATGTCTAGTAGAGAACACTGGTTCATCACTACGTGCTTTGGGCCTCCCCAGGTTTTTCTCCAGCACAATGTCGCCATGGTCGCCAGCGTCAACGTCGCCGCCAGTGTAAGCATTTGCGCCCGCTGCTTGGAATCTACACTTGGTTCGCCTTAGCGGGAAATGGTGTAATTTTTTCTTATTAGAATTACGATGATAGGCCATCATTGATACCTGCGTTAGTCATCCTCGATTTTGCTGCAAACACATTTTTCGCCTATACCTGTGCTTTGTTGTCTGATTGTATCTTAATCACTATACTGCACAAATCAGCAAATTTGTATGCCACTGTGCGTAATTTTGTTTTAGACAATGTTGAGAAGTTTCCAAATAAGAACGCAGCAGCGAAGAAGGGGAAAAGCAAGCAACAGCACGGCTGTTGAACTTCTAACTTCTTGTTAATTGTTTATTCCAAGAACTTTTTTTCTGGTCACATATGAGGAACCACAGATTTATTTGCCGTTTTGGTTATGCACTCAGCATCACGTGGACTGAAAGTCGCTGCGTATATTGTGATGTAACG